AAAAGGTCAAACCCGCCGAGTGCTCCTTGTCATGATCGGGTAATAACGGAAAAATCCGTCCACAGTTCAGTGTGTAAATAATGGTCTAACAGTTTGTATGAAAAACATCAGTCAGCATTTTACTTAATGATAAATTGTATTTGCTGACAAGGTTATTGAATCGACAATAGAACTTACGAAATGACGACTTTAAACGAGACTATTGATATTCTTGTTTTATCAACTTGTTTTTCAATAACTTCCCTCGTTTAAGAAATTGTTCATACGTAGAACATGCTCTTGCGTATCGAATCAATTGAGAGATATAAACCTAATATGCATGTGATGAAGGTATATTGCTGCATAAGTAAGGGAAGTTGAAGATTGAAAAGTTAAAGTCATCACGTTTATCATAAAGCTTGGTTGTTAGATTACCATTAACGTCTTTTTCAAGTAAAATATTCAAATATGAAACAGATTTTTCAGACTCTGTGGTATCTTTTATTTCAAGATCACTGGGATATCAAATGGAAATAACCATTGTTAATTGAGAATACGTTGTCGATATATCTAAATGTCGAGTTGAAGGCCACAAAAAGTGTTTTCTTCTTTTCAAGTACAAGATTTTGAACAAATTCTGCTTCATACGAATACAAAAATAGGTCAGCTAATATCGAAGCGCAGTTAGTACCCATGGGAATTTCTAATAGATCGTTGGAAGACCTGCTCTCCAAGAACCACATAGATATTGCGAATAAGAAACTCAAGCATCTTTTTAATATCAACTTCAAAGTACTTTTGTGTACAATCATAGTGTATTTTTACAAATTAATTTTGCAAATGACCAATAACAAGGTAAGTTAATTTACAAGTTCCATTTTTATTGAATAAAAAAAAAACAGCTGTCAATGATATCAAAAAGCCTGGACTTTAGTTTATCGTGAGGAATGGTTGTATATAAAGTTGAAAAGTCGTAAGTTTTTATGTTGTTGATTTTGGTAAAAGTTTGTGATTTCAAATTTTCCAAAAGTTCCTTGGAATTTTTAAGTATCCACATCTGATTTACGCCACTTCTCGAATATATAGCACAGTACTCCTGAAGTTTCTCCTTCACGACTGTTAATATTTTAGTAAGGAGTAAAGAAAGAGGCTTGGTAGAACATTTACTCGAACCCGCTATGTTTTTTTGTTTGTAAGAAACTTCAAGATTCACATTATTCAAATATGCAGCTAGGTTAAGGACGTCCATAGAAAATACACCTGAAATATTGCACTGAAATGAATACAGTGTTAATATTTTTAGTTTTTATCAATGGGAATCGTGCTATTTGCATTTGTATATATCGGGTTTCTGCTGAGTTCGGCCAAAGCGACATCAAAGCTGTTTGTCACGTGACAGGTTAAAATAGTTTTTATCACGTATCTAAATTTTTTTTCAAAATGAAACAGTATTATATTCTTGATACATATAATTATCGTTTAAGTATGAAATAATTTTGAGAAAAGTCATAATTAGGCGATAAAACGCCCGTAAGATATAGTTCTCGAAGTCAAAATCTCCACAAATTAGATAGGCGTCACGTTGTACTGAAAGGTCATAGATGTCAATGGTCAATTAGAAGTTGTAAAGCTTATCGTTAGAAAATTATATCAAACAGATTTTGACGTTAAATAATATACATTACACAATAAGGTCGGTGGAAATTTAGACATCGACGATATTCTTTTGGTTATGGATGGCCAATTTTTATGTATGAACCTCTAGCAGAGAGAAATAACCAAGAAATATGCCGACAATAGGAGAGGACACCGAAGACGAAGCCGTTGACAACTCGGGACTTACGAGTAAATAGAATGAATAACTAAAGTTGGACTTCGTGAACATATATAAATATGAATTCAACTTCTCTCATTATTTAAATAAACTATATTTAAACAAACCCTGGATATCTTCTATCTGTTCCAGTGAATATCATGTACTAGAAATGCCACTTCTTCAACAGTGTTCAATGGCGCCTTACGCCATTAAGAAGTTCACGACATTCCTACTAGCATGTACTAGATTCTGTGCGACTTTAAAAATACTTGTTGGGCTTTTTTCCGTTTTAAAAAGGTATGTCCTTAAAACATTTTATAGTACAGAAAAAAATCATGATCGGGCATAAACGATCGTTCTGAATGAAGAAAAAGCCCCCGCGTTTGCAGAAGAAAGAGCCTCCTTTCATTTCTCGACTAAGTCCAGGAAATATGAAAAAAGGTCTTCCTAAAACCTTTCTTGTCCACATTTTTGTGCGTCCTAAAGCCACAAATTGTACCTTACTAGCTGTCAATTATCCAATTATCACTTATTTATTTACTAACAGGTTTAATAGACACAACAAATGAGCCGTTTTGTATACGCAACAAGTACTTTTAATCACGACCAAGCAGTAAATCGTACATTGTCTTATTCTCTCAAAATAGCGTAACTATACATGACAAAAAAAAATTAAAGATAATATGGAAGGGCAATTTTAAAATATGAATTTGGATATATTATAAATTTGGAAATCTGATAAAAGAAATAAACAAAAATGTAAGCTGTAAATATTTGGGTAGGTTGTTCCAGAATTGCTAATGCGAATTAACGGTAAAGTTTACACTATATAGAGAGAATGAACTTGTTTGTTACAATCCGGGATTGGGTCTAGTTCACGTTCATCCTGGTGAAGTCATTAAGTTTGTTAATACCATTAGGGCGGAATGACTTTAGCCTGTGCATCCAGAACTTTTCCTTGCCTTTTCTCTGAGCGTCTGTCCATCTTGTATTATGGCCAATAATCACTACTGTCATATGCATGTCCTCCCATTTGTGACCTTCAAGGTTGAAATGTTCCCAAACGGGTTCATTGAGTTTTTTGGTCCTAATGGTAGAACGGTGATTATTGACTCTCCTGCGGAGATCTCCTGTTTCACCAACATACTGTTTGGAGCAAACTTTGCAGCTGATGATATAAATGCAGTTGTCTGTTTGACAGGACAAATCCCCTAGTATTATGTAGCTGCGGCCTGTTACTGGGTGTTAAAGCTGTCTGTGTCAGAGCTGTGCTTACAGAGAAGACATCTTCTGTCAGAGCAAGTTTTAAAGCCCCCGTTAGGTAATGGATTGTCCAATCTGGTTCTTACTACCATGTCCTTTAGGTTCCTCGGGCGTCTGTATGCAGGTATGCAGCCAATGGGGGCTCCTTAAAGACCTCTGCCATTCGTTTTTCTTTGTCCTGAGGAAGGGACAGGTCGTCCCGAGAATTTGACAATTATTATCGTTCGTGTCGTTGGTCATTTTTAGTGCTTTATATAAATTTCCATCCGTGACCTTGTATCTACTTAGTAGATCCGACACTTAGGATATACAGTGTTGTTGGTTTTTTAGTGATATATATATATATATATATATATATATATATATATATATATATATATATATATATATATATATATATATATATATATATATATATATATATATATATATATATATATATATATATATTCATAACTTGTAAAAATCTTTCTCATTGGTTCGTTTGATATCACGTACCAAGGTATGAGAATGCGGATAGACCGAAACATTTTAATTATAAGCATAACGGATAGACCAGAAAATGTACGAAGAAAATCATGTATGAAATATAATCACTTACACGGATTTTTTCCATACAAACCTACAATCAGGACAACTAATTAAAAACTCAAGTAGAAAAATTATTTTCGGGGGAAAAAGATTCATGGTTTATAATCTTATAAACGTATCTTACAGCTAAAGAGGTTGATCAATTCTTAAATTGAAATGGTACGTTTTTCTTTCTTTCTTTCTTTTTTGTGAATATTTTAAGAATGATTAATTGCATTTTCAAATTAAGGGAAATACTGTTCCACTTAAAAGTACAAATTTTGAAATGCAAAGGAAATTGAGATAAGAGAAAATTTAGAAAATTAACCTTAGATTTAGTTTGAAATTTAATTCATTTTAATCGCAAGATAAGTTTATATTTTAAAAGTATGTACACTCTTGCTTTGCACTCATTCCTTTATAGAAATAAATTCCCTAGCTAATGGCGAGAATTAGATATCCTCCATTTATTATACAGGAAATAAATAGTAAGAACATAGAAATGTTATTGGTAAATATCGAGACTTTTTAGCTGTAAAAATGCATTTGCAATCTGTTGAATTTATATGGCCAACTCCTTCCAATATTTACAAATAGAAATCCAAAAACCTACATTGGGGGGGGGGGGGGGGGTACGGTGGATATAAGAAAAAAAATTATTATTCGTCGATCTGATCTTTTACTCCTTGATGCGTGTTATTTACAACACACGTAAAAAAGACATAGTAGATCAGAATCTCAATCATGACATATATTGCTACTTGCATAATCAATGGATTATATACATCGTTTATGGCATTTTAAATGAACAGGGTCTTCAATGCTTCTTTCCTCCTGTAGGTTGTAATATATACTTTCAGTTATATCATCACTCAAAGTTAGAATACATATGTTTAAAGGATTTCTACCTTTGCAGAGGTTGTATTTCCCCTTTACAAAGAATACTAAAGGATAAATAGCACAAAAGATTCTATGCAAGAATTTATAAACATGTTTAATGTTTTGTCTGATTTTCAATAGCAGTGACAGGAAAAATTTCCTAAGAAAAAAAGGAATTGTACATTTCCTTAAATGTTCAAATATGCGAATTTGCAACTTTTTCTATATAAATCCATATAGTTACACAATTGTGCACACATTTATGACATTACTACAAAATCTTTCAAAATATCCAAACTTACTCCTGACCGGTAAACATTTTTCAGTTTATGTATATAAATATTATTTATTCTTTCTTTATAAATTGCTGATATCTGGAAAAAAAGTTTCTGTTATCGATCCTCAAATAGCCAAATCTGGTAAAAATAAGAGACACCGTTATAGTAGACATGAATTATAAATCTTAAAGTTAAATATTGTTAATCATAGTTTTCTATGTAAGGTTTATCACTTTTCCTTGCTGTAGAGACTCCATGGCAGACGCGCATAATCTACTGACATACGTCACTTCCTCTCCTTTAACAATACAGTCAGTTTCTCCTGAAATTTAAAAAAAAAGAAACATTTAGAATGTAAAACAAAGTTATTTGTACAATGAACAAAAAAAAATAATTTTCGGGTATTTATTAACAAAGTCAATGCATATCATTGAAATCTATTCATTTCTTTGAAATCATATTTGCAAAAAAAACACATTTAAAAATTTGAATGGTTTTCCCAAAATTAAAAAAAGTTTTCTTATAGAGGTGTTTTCGGACCTTTGATAACTGCTGCAAAGTGCTCAATTTCATTTCTGTAGGCATCTGTGAACCGCGTAAGAGCTTGCTGCCACATCAGATCAGAATGCATTCCTTTCTCGTCCCATAAGCACAACTGTGATTCTTTTGGATTTTCGATGACAGCACATCCCTTGGTACCTAAAACCTTATTGAATAGAAAACATTACTAAAGCTGAAACACTTAGATTTTTTTAAATTTTCGCTTATATATACTCAGTTGTTTTGGTATAGATCCACTCAATTTGAGGTATTTTTACATTCATTTTCTTTAATAAGGTGAACTTGGCAATAAACACATTTTATACCTCATATCTCTGATCATAACCATAGGGGACTCCTCTGAAGTTTTCGATAAATGCCAATAATCCGCTTGGAAACTTCAGTACTACGTTTACACTATCAAAATCACCACATTCTTTAATCATCGGATTGTGTGCATGACCGAAGGCAAGCACTGATTGTGGTCGCTCTCCTGCCAACCACACTAAAAGATCGAACTCGTGAATTGCGCTGTCGGTTAGAAATCCACCTGTAAATAGAATTATTTCATATATGTTAAAGTTACGTTTGATTAGACATGGATTCGTAAATATTAATTGAACTACAATGCAACTCATGACTGTCTTTTGACAATACCCTTTGAGCTTAGTAATTGTATCAGCGCAGGAAAATGGCATCACTTCAACTTCAGGATGAATATAACAATGACCATTTTATACGAATAGGAGAAATTGGAAATTATTTGGAGCTTAATGTATATCACGATTTACGAATCAGTATTGGAGATTTAATAAAGGCACCACCTGAGGATAAAATGTATTCCTTTGTACATGTAGACGGTAGTTCTCTAGCCGACAGCTTAATTGTTCTTAGAGTGCCTAAGTCACCACAACGAATTTTTTCGTATAATTTCTGTATGCTAACATCGAACCTTCTACAATAAATAGTAATGAATTACTTAATGATTACAATTTCTTCTTATATAATCGAAATTATTTGACTTTTTGTGTAGAACTAAGTCTTAGTTTGTTATATAATGAATCTTATAAAATATGGTTCAATAATTAAGTTCACGTTACTTATCGAATCCGCATTGCAGGGTCTTGTTATTTGTCTTGGCTGCTCTGTAGCAGTCAACTACTTCTTCCTCCGTTAAAGCAAGCGGCTTCTCTGCAAAAACATGCTTCCCTGAAAAGACATTCAATTAAATGGCTAATTTCAGATTTTGTGCTTCTTGATTGATTAGCGTCCTGTAAAGCTTTACGAGGGTCGTTCAATAAATAATGCATAGGATATATAATACTAAATGTAGAAGCATTTAATTTTATTTTTTCACGGTCTAGAAGTACTATTTAAGAATTCATAGTCAGTGGAAAATCTCATGTTTTTCTGCAGTTTTCGCAAAGAAATTCACTTTTGAAGTAAGCATGGTCTCTACGCTGAGCTGAAAACTGTTTAAAAACGGTCTCTAACAAGAAGATGAAAATGAAGGCATAAGTAAAAACCGCGTTTCGTTAAAAAAAAATCGCTGACCAACCAGTATGAAAGATGTGGTTTTGATATCTGGAAAGATAAACCTTTCAAGCTGTACAGTGTTCAGATAGATTAAAAAAATCCAAAAATAAAAAAAAAAGGAATGTAACAAGATCGTTGTTGGACAGGTCGATCAAAATATGTTGGGACACCAAAAATTGTCGATGCTGTTAGCAACATGATATTTGTAAATGGCAGATTTATCTTGAAAGACGTTGGTAAGACACTAGACATTTCATCATCACAGTTTGTAGAGTTTGTAGAGTTTCTGACAAGATAAATATGAATATTAAAATATTTTTATATATGATGGATGGAATATTTCCTTACAGATGACTAAGAGAAAACCTTCGTTTTAAGTTTCAATAGTCTATTAAAAACTAGAAATTATTACAAAGAAGGCATGATAAATTTGGGTGATGGTAGTTAAAACATGGATGCACTTTTTATTGCATAAAAGGAAGAACAATGATAAAAAGAGGAATCAGAGAGAAAGCTGTCATCTTATTATTACAAAGAGAGCAGATCTTCAAAGATGTCATATACAGGTTTTTTTCCCTGAAGTCAAGAGGTCTGATATTTCTTCAGCCTTCACCCAAAGAAAGGACCATCAATGGAAGTTTTTAGGTTAAAATTGCATTGAGGAAAATTCAGTAGCTTTTCTTTGAGGGAAGTCAAAATACGGGCCCTCGAACTAAGTTTTTTGTGTCTGACAACGCTGCTGCAGATATGTTTGAAATATGCAAAGGGAAGTTTGACGAAAGGAACGTTTTCAGAGCTTATAGCCATCCTCTGTATTCGCTTCATCTCAGTCATTTTGAGATTTTCTTATTCCAAAAATACAAGAAACAATCAATGGAAGAAAATACAATTTTAGATATGTCATGGAGAATGCCATTAATGAGTGTCTTTTGAGCATACCTCGTACTTTTCTTAATTTTAGATTGTATTTTGCATTAACTTATTGAACTTGATGTTCACTCTTAAAATGACTTTAAGCTTAATGACACAAACTTTTTTTTAAAAAATTGCCACAATTACCTTATTTTCATAAATATCTTGTATTATTTACCAGAATTTAATGACTTGATGATAAGATCTCCTCTTCCGTGAACAGTAGTGCATATCACAACTGCATCCAGCCTACAATAGAATAACATTGGTATTTATTCCTCGGTTTTCTTCTTTTGATATATTTGACCTTAAAAAAACCAAACCTTCTTGCAGATTATTTATAATCATCTGTCTTTGTCATTCTTATATTTTTGATATATTTTTTCCTGAATTAATCATAATACAAAAAATAATGTCTTTGAATAGGGTCACCTATAGGTGTTTTAAACAGGAATTTGAGAGCTATTTCATAAAATGAAGAAAAAAAAACAGAGCATAGCAAGTTCCTAAATGTTTGCGTCCTTAATTTTTTTTCATATCAAGTATTTATTATTACTATTATTTTATTAAAATGATATTTTTTTTTTCGAGATTTGTCACCTTAATATAATACTCACGTAGGTTTACTAAGAATTTCATCGGTTTCTTCTGGGGAACAGACGACGGTGTCTTTTAAACAATAGTTGTCAATCAAGTTCCGAATTTTTTCAAGCATCGATGGAATGTCAATCAAGTATGCAACTTCAAATGCAGAACTTTGCACTATATGACGTAAATGAATATTTCCAATTCGTCCAAGTCCGAAAACAGCAACTTTCGGACGAAAGTTTTTCCTTTCCGCCATGGTAAATAGCAATGAATTTATTATATCCACTACTGATTCAATACGCTATAGATGTTAAATCAAATCGGTCTGCCCTACTTTTGTGATTTAGATTGTCTTATCTTCCTATGCATTTAAGGCCATATATATAAGTGCATTTTTTCTTACCTAGAGTTTGGCAGGACTAATCAATATTTTTCTTTCGTAAAATCAGTCTTCTTTAAATTAACATAAATATTATATAGATATTTTAGTTTTATTTCATCATTTTTTTGCAAACGATGGATAATTACTTAATCTTTTTTGTAGACTTCTACATTTGGAATGATTGAAAAAGTAAACAAAAGTTCATACCAGTGAAAACATAAGGATCGACTCCTTACTCCATGACTCTAGAACAAATTAAACGCTCTAACCACTGCGCCGCGCGCGCGACTTCTGTATTTTGAATTTAGAAACATTTTGGATATTTAAGCGCTCTTATTGAATTTTAATCAACAACACTAGACCAGAAATTGAAAACTGTACAATAAAATTTATTCAAAGAAAAAAAAAATAGACCGCAGTCTTACACATCTCCTTTATTTAAAAAATACACTAATAACAAGCTAACAACCAAACTTTATAATACACGTAACGACTTCAACTTCTCAATTGTCAACTTTCATACTTATGAAGCAATATACCTATATCACCATATTTATTTCCCAGTTGATTCAAACGTATGTACATGTTCTGCTTATGAGAATTTCTAAACAAAAGCAGGCTAAATACAAATCAGTTATGTTATAAGGGTATCAACAGTCTCATTTGAAAACATTTTTTTGGCAATACCATGGTCGATAAAATGATATTTTATGCAATTACAAACGGTCCTAAGGTCTAATGTTAACTGGGTTTTTTTTATAACAATTTGTTCGGCTATTATTTCCGTTTACGCAATCACGACAAACGATTCATGCTAGACGTGACTGATCGACAGGAGATGTTAACACCTTTATGGCCTCCGATCCCACCTCAGAAGTTTTCAGAGGTCTGTGATTGCTCTGCTTTCAACAACTTCTCGAGCTAACTATCAATTCCCGCCTACATTTTATCCCCATCTAATTCAGTATAAATGGCATTTTTGTCATTAAAACTTTTTTGAATACAAAGAATAGTTCATTACTAATTGATTCATGATGTTAAAACCAGCGTCAAAAGTTTATTCCATTGTTTTACAACTCTTTCCATAAGAAGGGTAGAAAATTTTATCCATTGAAATCAGGCTTTAAAACATTACCGAAATTTCAAATACGCAAGGAAATGGATAAATGACCCTTAAATCTTTCGGTATGTTAAAATTATGTAAAATTCAAAGTATAAGATTGATAAATACATTTTTTCAATTTGCTATCTCGTTAGAAATAGGTTATAAAATGACTAGTTTTACTGGTTTTTGTCTGTAAACATATCTCCCCCCGTGAAGCACAAAAAGATTTGATATGAATATGTGAAATAACAATCCATATAACCTGTAAAAAGGAATTTTTGTTTCACGGGTGGTGATGTTTTAAAAGTATTTTTCGTTGATTTCTATGGTGAAAAACACAAGTTTTACCAAAATTATAGAGTTATCTCTTTTTGTTTTCCCAAATAAGTAATGTTTTTTTCGAAAATTCATATAAATATCTATACAAATATGAAAAATCATTCAAATGTGTTGACTTTTGAAAATTGACTTGGAGGTAGGCGGGAGAACAATACTATCGTTCGCAGTTCTTTGTATTGTTAATGAGGATTTTGAGCATGATTGTTCGCTATCTTTATATTTCACATATATTTTGCCATCGTAATGTGGAATTATATTAATGCATGTTTAGAAATGTTTGTTGGTAAAGTATTCGTGAAATAAATAAATCTTATATGGAGGTAACATTTTCCTTCCGTGTATTAAGATAATCATAATTGTTAGCTTTGAAGATAATATCATCCTAGAACGTGTTACTGCTACTTATGGAAATAAAATTCCTATCAGGAGGGAGAAATGGGATTTTCTAAAGAAAAAAATAAGAATATATAAGGTAATTGATGATTGTAAAACTTTCATGATTCTATCTAATAGTACGCAATATGTATATAAAGAAAAGAGAATCACTGGGAAAAGGAAGGATTTTGAGACCGGAATTTTCGTGAGGTATGCATTTCTGTAGTAAGATATCTATTTATATATATCACGTTTATGATCTTATCTTTCATTATTGATTTTATTCTTTATTCCATATTTATTTTATGAAGTTTTTATTATATATTTTTTTTGTTTCTCAGCTATGTTGAGGAAGGAAATGGAAAATGCGATCTTAGTACCTTCTTAATAGGTATTATTTTTAAAAATCTTTGTAATAAAGTAACTGTATACATTTTGGAAATGTAATAATAGATATCTATAATGGATAAGTTTGTGCTGTTTTCAGTACCAGTTATATCAGCTGTGTGTCACGTGACTGGTATAAAAATGGAATTGTTCAGCTGAATGTAGAAATGGACACTAGTGCAAGGGCATACGCATGTTTTTGGAGAAACAAATGATACATATTAAAAATGATTTACATAGGCTTCCCGTTTGAGCTGTTTTGGAAATACTCGTATTTTTGCCGAAAATGCGTATAATAGCTAAAAAGTCCCAATTCGCTTAAATTCTGTTACGAATAAAAATAATGTTATGCCGACCTGAATCAGCTCGCAGCACTTTTTGAAATACACATGATATAAACAATTTATATTTTATATTACATCTCAAACAGTCTAGTCTATGCCCTTGCACTATTGAGGTTAATCAGGAATACACTTATTGTGTTAGCGATAGTCTTTACATCCTCTCCCATACGAAAATGTCTAGTTGACTGTCAACTAGTCGTCAACTAGCAGTCAACTAGTCGTCAACTGAATGCTCGAAAACAATTGACCACTAGGAGTTGAATGCTTTTCTGAAAAGCTGTCAACGTTTTTTTTTTTGTTTTCTTTTTTTTTTTTTTTACATAAAATGGTCAGTTGACCGTCAAGTGACCGCTTTTCACAGAGTTGACCGTTAGTTGAATGTTAATACTTTGAAAATTTCATGCGAGAAAAGAGTTGTCCATTGTTGAACACTCCGACTTTGTGAGATCTTGCAGAGTTGACTATAGTTGACCACTCAGTGATAGAAAATCTCTCTGACTCTATTTATGTTGGGTTTGATTGATTGATTGTACGTTGTTTTACGCCCCATTCGAGAATTTTTCACTCATATAGAGACGTCACCATATACCGGTGAAGGGCTTTAAATTTTGACCTTTACTCGGGTCCATTGAGCAGTGAGGGATCTTTATCGTGCCAACGTCTGCCGTGACACGGGGCCTCGGTTTTTAAGGTCTCATCCAATGGACCCGTGTGACGGTACATATTGTCGTTTTGTACATATTGTCGTCGGCGACAATATGTACCTACCCTCACTGCACATATTGTCGTCCATCGGTACATATTGTCGCCGGCGACAATATGTACCGAGAGGAGCCTTATTTTCCTCCTGCATAATGGGCGACAAAATGTACAGTCAAGCACCAGCACATATTGTCGTCGGCGACAATATGTACAGTCAATGTCGGCATATATTGTCGTCGATATATTGTTTTAACGAATATTTACTTGAGAAAGGAAAGAGCGGTTGACATACACACACGCACGTACGGAGGGAGACAGACAGCATTACTCGCAGTACCGTAGGGAGAAAATTTTTTGGTCAGAAAATTGTGTCCTGGATTGATGTACATCACTATAATATGTCAAGATAACGTAATTCTTGAGATATCTGATAAATCAGCCTATTCTTTTTTTCTTGTAATATACGTATACTTGGAGATTGAATACATGTATTAGTTTTTCGCTCAGTAATAATGATTATTTGGAAATTATTTTTCGCCTATTTTTATATACATTCATGTGCCGATATAATTGGTGTTGGTGTTGACGTTTTTAGATCACCTGAACTGGAAGTTAAAGTGAACTTTTCTGATCAGATTTTATCTGACCGTCCCTCTGTCTGTTAGCTGTTCACAATTTTAGCTTCTTCTCAAGAACTACTGGGTCAATTTCAATCAAACTTGAAAATTTAGTGACATCTTTTAAATATCTTCTCAAGAACCACTGTGTAAGAAAAGTTGAAACTTATGTGAAAGCTTCATTATGAAGTGTAGATTCAGTTTTATTCAGATCATGTCCCTCGGGGGAAGGGTGTGGCTACAATAGGTGATCATAAGTTTTTCATAGAATATTTAGAAAACATCTTCAAAATCTTTTTTCAAGAACTACTGGGTAAGAAGAGAAGATACTTACAGTGTATGTGAAAACATCATTATATAGCGTATATTGAATTTTGAGGTGCTGACACGAAAAAAATCCCTCACTGCTCAATGACCCTGAGTGCCAAGCATAGGTGTAAATTTGCAGCCCTCCACCGGCAAGAAGTGACGTCTACATACGAATGAAAAGGTCTCGAGATGGACATTATAACAACAAACAAAAATAAAATCATTTTTGTTCAAATCATGACTCCAGGGGTAAGGTGGGCCACAATGGGTGATCAAAGTTTTACATAGGAATATATATAGAAAATCTTTAAAAAATCTTCTCAAAAACCAGACAGATGTACCACCCCCCCCCCTCCCCCCTCCCGGAGGTTTCATTTTTTTTTTATTTTGCTTTGGTAAATTCTGATTGTTGAACTTGTATATACTCTCAATTTAGTCAACAGGTAAAATTTCATAATTAAATAATTTACTTAACATATATGTCGCCTGCGTGGCGAAGTGGTAGGGTATCTGTTCTAGAGTCGCGGAATAAGGAGTTGATCCTTTCGTCGCGGGTTCGAATCCCACTGTGGGGCATGGAGACTGATCCTTCGGATGAGACCGTATAAACCGATATCCCTCACTGTTCAATGGCCCTAAGTGCCGAGCATATCTCAAAATTTGCAGCTCTCCACCGACAAGTGGTGGCGTCTCCAT